GTTTTGATTTTGTTTTTTGAAACAGGGTCTCCCTGTAGCCCCAGCTGGTCTGGAACTCACTGTGTAGACCAGGCTGGTCTTATCTCACAGAGATCCACCTGCCTCTGCCTCCCAAGTGCTAGGATTGAATGCACACACCACCACATCTGGCTGAGCTTTCTTTTTAAAAGAAGAAAAAATTTTAAAAAATTTTTATTATTTTTATTTTATGTGCATAAGTATATTGCCTGAATGTATGTAAGTGCACCCGTGTCATGCAATGCCCATGGAGGTCAGAAGAGGGCGTCAGAGTCCCTGGAACGGGAGTTACAATTTTTCCCCCGCAATGTGGGTGCTGAGAATTGAACCCTGGTCCTCTGCAAGAGCAGCCAGTGCTTTTAACTGCTGAGCTATCTTTCCAGTTCCCAAATAAGAAATATTTTATGTTCACCCATGTGTCTTCGTGTGTGTATGTGCATGTGTGCGTGTATACCGTGTGTACAAGTGCAGGAAGAGGCCAGAAGGGGACAGTTACCTTGGAACAGGAGGTACGGGCAGTAGTGAGCTGCCATGTGGTGCTGGGAACCAACAAACCCAGGTCTTCTGCAAGGGCAGCACGTGCCTCACCTGCTGAATTCTCTCTCTAGCCTGGAATCTGAGCTTTCTTACTGTGCAGCCCTCACTGGTCTAGATGTTGCTCCGCACACCAGGGTGACCCTGCATTTGCAGCAACCCTCCTGCCTGTGCCCCCCAAATGTTGGTTTTACAAGCAAGAACTAGATGCCTCCCTTTTAAAAAATATTTTTTCCTATGTAGACCAGGCTGGCCTTGAACTCACAGAGATCCGCCTGCCTTTAATCCCAGCACTTAGGAGGCAGAGGCTTACAGAGATCCAGGCCACCTGGTCTACATAATAGTGAGTTCCAGGGCAGCTGGGGCTACAGGGGGACCCTGTCTCAAAAAGACCAAAAAAATTTTTTTAAATATGTATGACTGTATTGCCTGCACCACGTCTTGTAATGTCTGCGGAGGTCAGAAGAGGGTGTTGGATCCTCTGGAGTTAGAGAGGATTGTTAGCTGCAATGTGGGTGCTGGGAATTGAACCCAGGTCCTCTGCAAAAGCAGCCAGTGCTCCTAACTGCTGAGCCATGTCTCCAGTCCTTGTTTTTGAGATATCCCAGGTGGGTCTTGAACTCCCGATCCTCCTCCCTTAGTCTCCTAATTGCTGGGATTACAGGTGTGCGACTAGCACACCTGGCTCGGATACAGTCTTGCCCCATGTATGTCCTAGCCATATCTCAGAACAAGCCTTATCATCATCATGTGTTCCAAAATCCCTTCATAGGCCACACCAGGCCTGTGCCTGGCAGCGCAGACACTGTGGCACTCATTCATCCCCCTCTACCCTGGGAGAAGCAAGTCCCCCTACCCTCCTAATTCCCTTCCTGATCTCCTGAGTGACCTATGAAGCTGGTCACCAGTCTTATACCCATCCTGGAAGATAGTAGACAGTTTTTCACAGTGAGCCTGTTCAGGGGCCCGCTGGTACAGCCACAGACCGGAACTAGAGCCTCAGTACACTGGCTGTGTCACTTGGGTCCTCACAGTGCCCTCTTCCGTCATGAGGAATGTCATGATTCTTCTATGGGGAAGCTAAGTTAATAGACACCATATCTCTAAAGCCTACGGGCCCAACTATCTCACAGTGGATGCGGTGAGCCTGGGTCTTAAACAGAGAGGGTGCTGTGGCTTAGTGATCAGTATTTCATTCTGAATGGCTTGGATAGTGTAGGCCTGGAGACAGCCCAGTGCCCAGGCAGACCTTGCCTGCAGAGGAACTGCCTTTGGATGGAAGCCAGGCACCAAAGATCCTGGGGCGGGAGGTATATGTGTTAGGGAAGTTCCATATCCTATCAGTGAGCAAGGTCAACTCCTCCCTTTCCAATCTGGCAGCCCTGTGTGGAGCACTGGCTCACTCCTGTCTACAGCCTGGAACAGGGGACAAGAGGAGGAGCTCCACACTAGGTGAAGGTTACAGTGCTTGGCCTTCTCCACCAACAGCCTGATTAGCCCCATTTACCACACTGTTCAGTACCTCTGCATTCAACACCTAACAGAGACCCAGCCGCCGGTTCCCCAACACTGTCTCCAGTGAGGACAGACAGGCAACCTTAGCCAGGACCCCCATCTTTCAGGCAGAGAAAACAAGGCTGTCCCAGCTGGCTAGCAGAACTCTGCTGGTCTTGTCTATAGTTCCTTTAGTTTGTTGTGGCTGTCTCATTAACTTTTGTGTCCTTGCCCCAGGCTTGCCCAGACCCCTGTTCCAAGGGAGGGGTCTATTATGAACATCAGTATCCTTTAACAGCTTCTTGGATGGGAAGCTGCTGGCAGACAGAAATTTCTGCCCGAACATTAGGTCACTTGCAGAACCTATTGTGAGGGGGTAAGGTGGCCCCATAGTACCCTCCACCAGCCACTCCTGTCTAGCCAACCTCCTTGACTTTGGCCTCAAGGCCACAAGGTGAGAGAGAATGTGGTGGACTAGACTCAGGATGCTGTCTGGAGTCTAGCTCTAGCTCCTGGCTTGTTACTGGACACCTCTGTGCCTCCGTTTTCTCATCTATAAATCAGACATGACAGTGCCCGTCTTGAAAAGAGTTGAGGGTGATGAGCTTTGCCAGGGAAAGTGCTTAGAGTAGAGCCAGACACACAGAGCAGTCAGCACTTTCCTTGGCCAAGACACTGGGCATGAAGTGTGGCTGAGTCTAGGACTCTTACCCAGTTCTCTGGGACCCAGACTCAGGACAGTATGGGCTCTAGGTCTGTAGAAGGGAATGCCATGGGTAAAGGAGGGGGGCACACTCTCACCAGTCTTGTTATGGGTAGAACTGTTGTCACCCCCGTCTCAGAGATGGCCCAGTGGAAACAAAGGGAGGTCAAATTTCTGCCAACATCTTTACGTGCCCGAGCCAGGATTCAAACTGCAGTCTTGGTCTCTCAAATCCTTCTAAAACGTTCCCAACAAGATCTTTTTTTTTTTTTTTTTTTTTCAGACGTGAATTTTTATTCAAAACTTACCCTTTCAGTGCAAGACCAGTGGAAAGTAAGAAAAGCCTCCACCGCGGTGGAGGCAGCATCCGGGAAGCTATCAGGCTGTCCCCTGGGTTCTCAGGCCCTCTGGTTGTTGGAGGCCAGAACCCAGCACTCTCTCTCTGGCTGTCTGCTGAGCTCCCAGCCACTACTCCGATGGAGGTCCAAACCTACCCTCTCAGGCTGTCTGCTAGGATCTCCCCAACAAGACCTTTGATTGCTCCTAGAAACAAGGTCCATCTAAGCTGCCTGTCCCTGCAGGGTAGACCCTAAGTTTGGGAACTTGACCTCATACAAGATGAGGGCAGCAGAGAGAAAAGAGCCAGGGCTGTGTTGGGGTCCAGCACTCCTGGAGGCTGTAGTCTGGCAGGGGAGGAGTGTTTTGGAGTGATGTGAAGATATCAGATCTCTAGGTGCAAATGTTGCTTCCTTTTCGTACCTTTATAGATCTACAACCTCCTGCTCATGCCTCATGGTGCAGGAGCCATTCAACTTGGGTCCTACGGTGTTTATCCCTGCCAGCAAGTTCCTCCTGCGTCCCATCCGGAGCACCACAAAGCATTTCTAGGATGAGGCTCCCCACCTCCCTACCAGGAATACCCAAACACGCTCTGCCCAAGGCAGGGGCACCGAGGCAGGTGAGACAGTCTAAGAAGCCACCCAAGCCTTGAAGCTTCCCTCCGAAGGGTCTACGGGCGGGGCCGGATCATTACGTCATGGCCCAGGGCCAATGAGGCCGCGCAGCCCCGGGGCCGTATTGCGCAACAAAGAGAACCCAGAACTTGAAAGGATTCCCCGGGCTCCGGCTGCGCCCACGGGTCTCCGAGGACCCTACGCCCCGGGATTTCACCTGCAAGCTGGTCTCCGCCCGCGGTGTGCCAAAGGGGTCTCCTAGGACCCGGCACGACCGCAGCCCACGGCAGAGTGCAGTGCACGCCCTCTGATTCCCTCTCCATTCCTGCAGTCTCGGCGCCCCGGGGCTAAGTCCCTCTGCTCGCCCCGAAAAGGCGCGCCCCTGCTGGGCCCCGGTCGGTCCTCCGGTTCCCAACCCCGAGGGCGCGTCCGAGCCACAGCCTGGGAAGCCAGACGGTGGTAGGGCTGTGTCCCCACCCCGCATCCTCGGTTTGCGCTGGACATGGGGGGCCGGGACCCATAAAGTAGCCACCCCATCCCCTGCGAGCCACCGCGAGCTGCGCTGCCAGGCCTGGGAGGGGGTAGCCGAGGGAGAGGCTGGCTCGGGGAAGTTACCCCAAAGGTCTCCAACTTAGGGGGGTGGTTCTGAGCCTCAAACGCTGCCCCGAGGCCCTTCGGACCAACCTTGCGACCCACAGCCCGAATCCTCCCCGCCCGGATTCCCCGTCCGGCCACCCCCCGGGCCAGGGCGGCGGCGCTCACCCCGCAGTCGGGCGCCCGGGGCTCCGGCTAGCTGCTCCCGCCTCCGGCTCCGGCTGCAGTTCCCGCGCCCCGGGACGGAGCGCCTGCCACCAGAGGCCGCGGGGGAGGCTGGCGGCAGCGCGGCCCGCGGGCCAGG